TCCTCCCGGCTTCTCAGGGGACTCTGCAAGCGGCCATTTGGCGATTCCCTGAGTTTGGTGACAAGCTCACTCACCAGTGAAGGATTTTTAGCGAGATTTCAAAGGTGGGGATATCATTTGTTTTGCTGAACTGGTCCCCGCATTCCAACATCCATCTGTGCCCACTGATAACCTGGCTGGGAAGGTGTCAACAGTAGAATCCGGGATCCTCTACAAAGGGTTGGTTTCATGTTGGCGTCCTTTTGACAGCCCCAAACAACTGCTGATTTTGACCTCTCAGAACAACTTCCGGTCACATCAAGCCCCGGCCCCCCCGCCTAGGTGTTGCCACGCGAGGACACCTGGCAAGGAGCTTTGGGACCGGTTTCAGCTTCACGCCGCTCGCTCGAAGGGGCGACCGGGCCCAAATTGTTTCTGGGTCAGCATTCTGTCAACCCGTGGTGAGAACTTAAAAGACGTATATGGGTATGGTCAAAATTGAACCAGCAGGAATTGGACCGCAGGTTTTAGTCCTTGGTTCCATTTACCAGGGTTCCATTTTGGCCCACAGCCATATGAAGTGATGGTCCAGAAACTGAGCCCCAGGCAAGGCCACGGGGAAACGACATGGCCTTGCTTCTTTCAATGGGAGTTGGCCATTGGACCCTGGAGGTTGGGTTGGCTTTGAAACTACCATTGCCTCAGACAACAGCTCAATAGACGCCATCAGATGTCTTCGAGTTCGAAACGCTTCGTTTTGAAGTGTGGGTGTGCCCAAAACCAAAGGCTGGAGTTCCCAGAGAGGATCCAAAGAACTCGCTGCAAGGCCCACCTGGTTTTTTCCAATGTTCTGGGTCTTGTGGTCAAGGTCCCACAAGTTAAACGGTGTATGTTTAGGTACGTGCGGCAAACTTACATGGAGCCCCAGTCGAAGAAATCTCCGCACACGAATCAGCCGGACTATCTTTGGTCAGGTGTCCCCTTTTCCGTGTTGGGCGAACCGAGGTGAGCCACAATCAGAACCCGAAGTGAAGGACTCTTGTGTCCATTTGCTTAAGATACATGCGTGCTTTCCTCTGTTGGTTTCAAAGGGAATCTATGACTCATGATTTGTCCACCTCTGACTAATAAATAGCCCCCTCCCCCAAACTTTCCTGAATAAACCATTCGACTGTTTTCGCTGTTTTCCCCAGGTTAGTTCTGGAAGTGACCCCTTTTTGTGAAGTTGGAGTCCAGGAAGTCTAGCAACTGTGTACTACGGTGAGGTTCCAGGAAGTCTCGCAACTCTAATTGTGAATTGGTTGTGTATTGGGATGCATTTTCAGGAAGTGACCCAGATCATTAGCTTTGTGTAGGGTATGCATGGGTTATTCAGCACAAATGACTGTCTGATTGTTTTGCAACGTTTCGTGAATAGGCCTCACATAAAGCAATCATAATGAAACTGGACTCTGGTCTTGATATGCGGTTGGCTTCATGAAGGGAAGCTGACAATGGCACCAACGATTGGAATCAACACGGGGAAACACGTTTAGGGCATGGTTTGTTTATTGCAAATCACCTTGTGGGGGGCTGATTGGATTATATACGATATTTGTGTGAGAAGGTTTAACATATAGAACCCGTCGTGAAAATGGCCACCCCGCAATTGTGGGTTTGTTGGCTTCCGGACTGGGTCCAAAAACAAGCATTGGGGATGGTTAAACAAATATTGAGGGGCCCTTGGCAACTTTGCTTTAGTCTTGGGCGTTTCTTTTTTTCAGGAGCTTCTTCGCTTTCTGCGGCAGTTACTCGCAGGCGGACATTCCTGGAAGCACGCGTTCGCATTTTTTCCCCGGGGACGTTCCGGAAATGAGCGTTTGGACTCACGGAGCTCTCGAATCCACGGGCCCAGCGTTACAGGAAGAGCTGCGCGACCTGGAGCGAGCGGAGAGTGTGTGCCTGAGCCATGGGACCGGCCAGCGGCGAGGGTGGCGAGGGTGGCGTTTTTTTGTTGTTGTTTAAACCCATTTCAACCCATCCCAAAAGGGGTGTACCCTCAGGAAAAAGAGGACTCCCACGTGTGCCATGGCCAAAAGACTCACTTGCTTCCCCAAATGAGTAAAGAACCCCCCTCCCCCCTTCCTCCTCCCCCATTTTTAAAACATACTTTTCTGGGAACACATATTGATATATAGGATCTCAGGGGGTTCCACTGCGGTCCTCGTCCACGGGCAAAGACTGTCGTAATCTGCTACTAGTAAGTAATTTATATGAAACTGTTCCAGGCACTTGTTTGTTTTGCCAATTCGATGTTAAATGGCTAGATTCAGGTTACAATTTACAATTTGAGCTTGTAATCGAAAGAAGGGAAAGTACGCTCTAACAAGGGCGGTCAGGAGTGTAGTATGGGTCAATTAAAAGTAAGAAATAGCGGAAGGGACTACTTGGGGTTGGTGGGGATGGGATCCCTTTCCAGCATTCATCTGATTTTCAGCAAGGCACCAGGGGTTTGATGGGATACAGCACCAAGGTGTTTGTGTGTTTTCTTTTGTGGGGTTGCCAAGGGTTGGAATTTTCTGGGCCAGGGATTTTTTTGAGGTTTGGGGACCCTGACCTCCGGAGTGTACATCTGAGATCATTTGCGCCAGTCTTCTTCTAAAACAGTGACCCTTCCCTGAGTTCGAGGTTTCCCTTTTCGGAGGGCTTTTGGATGTATCCTTCAAGCCATGCAAAAGGACCGACTCATGGCCATATCGTTCACAGGTCATCCGCGACTGCTGCCCTCCCGAGGTTGGCCGAAGAGTTGCGTCTCGTTTGTTTGGGGGACCCGTGTGGTGGCAGAGTAGAAAAAGACGGAGCCCGCTGAGAGAGTGCCGGAGTTTTTTTTGTTTGTTTCCCCTTGCTCCAAGTTGTTTGTCCAGATATCTCAAGTGGAAAGGTGAAGTGATGTGTTGGCATTCTATTGTGATAGACAAATGCACGCTTCACTGCTTTCTGGCCAAATGGTTCATGGTTGTGTCTCTCTATGTCTGGTCATTTGTTTGGTGGTGGTCGCCGAAAAATGTCGTTTGCCAACATGTCAAGTGTCGAGAAATTTAGGTGTTTTGGTCCGATCCTTAGGCAACTCAAGATCCCAACCCCCGGTGTGTTTTGTTTGGCAGGAGGACCTTTCCAACTCCAGCGGCAGTTGTCCTGAGGGACGACAGTTTTCATTGGGGGTTGCGACTTCGCAGTGAAGCTTCTGTTGGGGATTGTGAACCACCCTCCTACAGATTAACATGGGTCTGTCTTTCTTTGGGGACCCCCCCCCAGAATGGGTGGTTCCTTTTGGTTTCCCTTTAAAACCACAAAAAGGGGTACCCTCAAAACAGACACCCCCACATGGGTTCCCCCAATTGGAGGAAGCTCCTTCGGTGAATTTGTGGAGTATTTGAGTTTGCCCCGTATGTTGGTGGGGGACCGCTTTTTTGGGTTCCACGCGAATGAATCTTTGTTTGCCCAGGATGTTGGACCCTCCTTGACAGGGAGGGGGGGGGATTTTCACACGCAAGAGGAACACAGGAGTGCATCATGTCATGCGGCAAGAGCGCTTCCGGGCTGGGGATCCCTCAAATCACGTTGGACACATACTTGCGTAGATGAGTTGGTCTCCAAATGGAGCTGGACCACTGGATATATGCTGGTTTCGCCTTTTTTTTCCCTAGCCCCAAAAACTCGGCCAAGTTGACACCTCCATTCAGCAATCCGAAGAGCAAAGTTTGTGGAGATGCTATTTGGAGTGTAAAAGCTCGTTGCCTTGGTCTGCACAAATCTCCCGCTTGCTCGCCAGGGTCAATGTCGCTCGGCAAGCGAGCGGAGACTCGCAGGTGATCCAACAAATGGCCAAAGAGGCTTCGTCTCCGAATGGGAAAGCCCCAAAAAGTGGGCGCTGGCCCTTGCGTTTTCAGAGCGCAACTGAGATCGGCTATTTTGACAGGTTGCGTTTTGTTTTTTTGTTAAAACGAGAAATCGATCACAATTGTGAATCCGTTTGCGTTTTCTTTTTTGTTAAAACGAGAAATCGATCACAATTTTGAATCAGTTTGTGTTTTGGTGTTTGTTGAAACGAGAAATCGATCATAAGTTTGAATCCGTTTGCATTTTGGTTTTGGGTTAAAACCAGAAATCGATCACAATTTGAACCCGTTTGCATTTTGGTCTTTGGTTAAAACGAGAAATCGATCAGAATGTTGAATCCGTTTGCGTTCTGGTTTTGGCAAAAACGAGAAATCGATCACAATTGTGAATCCGTTTGCATTTTGCTTTTTTGTTAAAACAAGAAATCGATCAGAATCTTGACTCCGTTTGCGTTCTGATTTTTGTCAAAGCAAGACATCAGCTTTGGACCGTTGGCGTTTGCATTTGGGGGTGCTCGTTGGAGATCAGGCCAGGCTACATACGTCGTAGCCCTCAGCAGAGCCTGCAGGGCTGCGGCATCATCGCGTGGCGCTGCCAGCAAAATAGCTAGGATACATTTTTAACCAAGCTTGAGCAGGTGCCGGCCTGATGTCATAATGCTAACCCCGGATTAATACAGCCCTGGTTGATTAACAGGGGGTGTCCCCTTTTGTGGGGATTCATCACTTTTGGAGGGAACATCCCCCTAATAATGGGACGGGTTAGTTAATCCTGGGTCAACATTAAGGAGTTATTAGTTCCTATCTAGGAAACCCTTGGTAGCTCTTGTTTCGGGTTGGTTCACGATAAGGTCAAGACATTGACTTTGGGTGGCTAGGCGTGCAGAGGTGCGATCTTACGTTGATGCAGCTTCCAAATTGGCTGCCTCATTTCATCATATGAGTCCCTGACAATATCATGGTTAGTCAACTGTCGGTTGGGGGGGAGGCATGCGGGGCAGGGTACAACCCAAGGAAATGTCCCATGTCCTTGTGCGAAACAAACATCACTGTCCGGGGCTCATATGGGGTGTTTCCTTGCATGGCAAATGTCGACTTTGTTCCGGGCACACACCTCCGTCAACCACAAGTCACTAGCAAACCTCGTTTGTGTTTCAAGTTTTGTATTGGTGTCTCCAAATGTGTGTCACTGAAGCATTTTCGCCCCCGCCCCACGTAACTTGTGGATTTCCGAGTAATGTGGAGATGTACTGGTGGAGCGTGATGCCTAGCCGGAAGCTCAAGCTGGGTTTTCCCTCTAGGCACTTGACGGCATGTTCTTTGACCCGGAAACCCGAAAGGAGGTCTCCGTTTGAGCTGCTTGCTTATCGGGAAACGGGAGTAACCCGGCAAGTTCAAGCAAGCAATACGACTGCCAGATGATCCAAGGGGCTGGCAGAAGTCCGCCCCCGGCGAGGTGAATCCGCGCAGGAAAAAGTCCGGGAGCTGCGGGCCTTTGAGATGGTCCCGGATCCCTTTTTCCGTTTTTGGATTGGGCTTGCCTTTGAAACCAAAAGCCAGTTGGGGGGTTCCCTTCAGGTGTGGCTCTCTTCTTTTTTTGGGGGGAAAAAGTACTTCAAAGAGTGGTGCCCTTGTTGTCCACGGACATCCCCGGGAGGTTTGGAGTTTCATGGGTCCCACAGATCACCCAAGGATGCCCGACCGATTCCCCCGAACCGTCATGGGGTCAACGAGCCTGAAGGGCGAAAGGAGACCGTACAGTTGTTGTTTTGTTTTGGGGGGAGAGGCAAGGTGTTTGGAAGGGGCCTATATCCCTATGCAGAACACCCTAAACACAAGAAGATGCTTTCATCATTACACATTTCCTTCAAAATGTCAACAGTGAGTCAGCTGCTGTTTGGGAAGGACGGACGAGCTTGCTAATTGAATGTTTTCGAGCGCTTAGCTTGAAAGGGTGCGGTTCACACTCTCTATCTTATTGTGACAAGGCTCTGCTCAAGCTATTTGCATTCATTTGACACTGTTACATGGACTTTCACCCCCAAGGATAGGGAACATAGGGGAAGACAGCCCTCTCTCTCTCTCTCTTTTTTTTTTTTTTTTCTCTCTCTCTCTCTCTCTCTTTGTATAGAGAGGTGCTTTGTTTTAGGTGGACCCCCAAAATGGCGGTTGTCCTTCTGGTTTCCCTTCAAAGAAACAAACAAACGCAACAACCGCGGGTCACCCTCCAAAAAAGACACCCATATATATATATATATATATATGTATATATGTATATATATATATACATATATATATATATGTATATATATATATATATATGTACGGTGCATAGAATAATACTATATATATACACCTACGCGCAGCTGCTTGAGGTCACCGTGCGGCAGCCCTTGTGTGGAATGCCCTTGGCGCGGAACCTCGGCTCGGCGACTCTTTCGTCTTTCGTCACGTCGGCCGTGTTCCTGGGATTTGGATGGCGGGGGGGGGGGGAACCACGAGCTTACCCAAGGTGCTTGGCCGTGCGGTTCCTGAGACTTTTCTGCGTTTTATTCGAGCTTTTTGATGTTGTATGTAGGATGTAGAGTAAAGCGGTTCCTTGGGTTGCTCGCTTTTTAGTTGATTTGGTGAGGTAGTTTCCACGAGACTTACTAAACAATAGACTTTTAGGGGATCAGTTTGGACAGACCCTGATGAAGGTTGTTTGACCGCGGATGGATGCCTGACGCGTAAGGTCCTGGCACCAGGGCCTTGGTATGTTCTTGGTACCCCCGCCAGCCCGTTCTAGTGATTTAGGCCCGGAAAATGCAGATAGTGGATCGTCTCTTGGGGAATCCCCAGGTCGGATTTTGCCACAGACTTTGAGAGTTTGAGCATTTCGAGGGATCTACGACATCTACAAAAAACATGGCAAGGGATCAACGAACCACTGCCCGAGCTGCCAAAGGCCGACGTGGCCTGCCGCTGGAGTCCGTTGGTCCCTCCCAGCTTCCCTCGGGAAATCTGGGTTTAAGTCTATGGGGGAATGCAACAGTGGAACCCTGGTTTGCTTGGTGCTCAGTATGAGGGAATTAACCCAGGGATCCCTGAGGCTTAACCGCAAGTGATGGGTAAGAAGGGGTCATTCCCTCATTCCCTTTGAGTACCATCAAGTTTGGTCTGTGCCAGTTTCTCTGAACTGGCAGTGCCGGCGGACCGTGGAGAGCTCCGCATGTTCGTCGAAATGATCCAAGAAGCCAGAGGGAATTCTACAAAAAGAAAAGTTTGCCCACACTCTGATCTTCGGGAGGGATGTTGGGCGGTTCTCCACTGCAGGACACATGGCATTCACCCGTACCTCATGAAGTGTTTGTCATCATGTTTTGCGTTTTCGGTGGGTGTGTCTTTTCTCGAGGCCCCCTCTTGGGCCTATCTTAAAGGAGACCATGTTTTTTGGTGCCCTGTAAGACACATGTATCATATTTCGTCCAGAATTGTGTTTGCGCTACCTGCAAGCTTGGCAAAGGGAGTGATTCCCTGGCTCAAAGTTGGTGGATTCTATCAGTTTGGTGCGATCCCTATGCGTTGTTCTTGATGTCTGTTGTGTTCGGTGTGTCTTATTGTGTGCTAGTTGTTTGCTGAGGATAGCCCAGTTAGGAGTACA